TAACTGAATGCTTTAAACATTGAATTCTGTTATATACACATCAGTATGCAAAAGCAGTAGACATACATGGTCCCAAAGCTTATCCAGAGACTTTGTATTTTGTATTTTTGATATGGGCTGTAATCATACTCTTCAGTATTGGTTTAACAAGTCATAAACATGAAATATTCAAAGGATTATTTTATTCATGTGTCTTACAGGTTTTTCTCCTCCTAGCATGGAGATTGCCTTATAATTGAATTATTGTTCAATTGGGAAATTGATTCTCAATAAATAAACAAATGAAAATAGAATTGTCTTTTATTTAGAATTCTCAGTCTGAGTGGATTTCTCTGTCTTACTAGAAAAGCTATTGCTTTTTCTTTGCAAATGGCAGCTAAAGTCTTCTTTCTGATTCCAGCTGATGTCTCAAATCAGGAACAACATTTCATCTGCATTTCATGGTCTTACAACTTTTTCATCACTGGTACCTGACAGTCCTAACTTCCACCTCTACTCGTAACTTCTCTTCTACTCTTTTTTTTGTTTTTTAGTCATCCACAGTGGTTTTCCACAACATTTCCCAGTCAGCAGATAATACATTGTAAGTTTCTTTTAGAACTGAGCTAAAGTCTGTGTTTCTTTTTCTACATTCATCTACACATAAATACTGATTTCTGCCTAATGAATGATAAAACTTCCTTTTGTGGAAAGCTTATAGTTTTTCAGTTTTTCCAGAAAATTTTGTTTGACTTTTCCATCATAACATCTTCACAAGCATTCCAAGAAAATACTGGTTACTGACATCAGCAGTACATTGAATAAATCTGCTTTGTCTAACATGGTTGATGCATTAAGACTGGAATTTTCAGTGGAGGTTAATGGAAATAAGTATTCCCTTCAAATGAAAAAAAAAAGAAAAAAGAAAAAAAAAAGCTTTATTATTCCTTCAGACTCCTTTGGAAATGCCAGCCCTAACTTTTTTTTTCATCATTCTAACAATGGAGGAAAAAATAACAGAGGAACTAAGCACATTTTCTGCCTCCTGGAGCAAATATGCAATCTGCCAACACAGGAGTCTTTCAAGACATAATCAAAACCAAGTAACCAGACTCCCACCTGAAACAAAATTTGATGCTTTTATACTAGTAATTGACAGACAAGGATCTGTTTCCTGATTAAGCTAGCTCCACTACCTTGGTGCTCTTGTAATGAATTGTAAAGGGCAATACATGAGGAAAATCACGTATCTCCTTTGAGTTTGTTCGAAATTCCTATGTTATCACCAATAAATATGTACCTCTGATTTATCCCAAGCTTTTTTAATAATATGCTTCTATCCTACAGTTTAGTTTGTTTGACACATCTCCTAAGAGCCTGCGGTCATTCTGGAAGACAGCTGTAGTTTTCAATCAGTTGCCACCTCTGCATCATTAAATAGCCTGAAACAGCAGCATGTCAGCTACCTTGGTTTCCAACTTGCTGTTTAAACCCCAGAGCTACTCTCCTGAAGGCGGCAGCAAAACATAATGGCAGCATCAAATGACCAGTTAGGCTGGAATAAACTAATTATCATGGAACATTAAAAGGAATAGTAAAATCAAACATAGACAGTAAGACCACCCAATGTTCAGTAGCATGCTACAATGTGGAAGCAAACAGAAGTGACGACATATGCACACTTTTATCCAATGTAAGTACTTGATTGGCCACTGACAGAAGTAATAAAGATTCAGGGTTTAATATAACTGGAATGAAAGTCACTGTCTCTTCACAAAACCTGATCTACAAAAGAGGTTTTCTTCTGTTATCTCCCTCATTGAAAACCCTTTCTGAGTGTATCACAGTTTCTCACAAGGGTTTTCCCCATTTTTGCAAATACTGCACTAAATACACTACAAATCACTAAATGTGCTGGGCTGCCTTTTGTCTCGTAACTTCTGCAACTCGAATTCTTGATGCAAAATATGCAAAGAAATATACAGGATGTTTAACTGCACATGCTTTCATAGTTTAAAAATATATATGCACCAAAGCTGAGCATCTGTTTATAGCAACTTAATAAGGAAGCAACACTTTCTTGAAGAAAGCAACATTTTCTTGAAGAAAGCCAATTTGCACTGAGCTGTACTGTGAACAGAATCAACTTGGGGTATATGATGTAGGCTCATCTTTAGCTCATAATACTGCTGTTTTCCCATATGATTATTTTCAAATATAAACTGCTCTTTTCACAGGTGATTATCTCCAGAATCAGAGTCACTTCAATACATCCAGAGATACGGGAAGCCTGCTGAAACATGTAATGATCAACTGCTCACCATCCTCAGAGAAAATGGAAGGCTCTGAAGGACAAATTGTTTGGGTTTGACTATTCTTCATGAACAGAAGCAGACCTCATCTGAGTGATTTCACTAAGTCAGAGAACTCACTAAAATAATTAGCAAATTACTTTTGCCAACAGTGCATATTGTAGTCACTTTATTTGAAAATATTTTTATATCAATATCACATGGTCACTTTTTGAACTATCGTATTGTTTTATGAGGACAACCTGCAGAGTCCAGACAGCACCCAGAAGCTCATGGGGTTGGATTTAACCACTCTACTTCAAACGTCCACAGTTATGGACCATGTGATGTGTCTCAGCTCAGCCTGAGGCCTTTCAGTTCCTGCCTGAGCCATGTTGGAGGTGTGTCTGTCCCTGTCCCTGTCTCCTGGATGGGCCTAGCACCTGCACTGCAGAGAGCTGCTCTCCTGGATGGAGCCCTCAGACCTAAGTCATAGCTTGTCATGCAGAACTCTAGGCATAATATGACTATTCTCTTCTGTTCTGTTCTCTTCTGCTCCCTGCGCTCACCATGAGTGGAATAACGATGAGACTGTTATTTGCCTGAAATGCCAGGGGTTTTCAGCTTCAAAAACTTTCAAGGACACATAACACAAAGGTTACTAGTGGAAACAGGATATTATTTTTATTTTTATTTTTCTGAATCAGTTTGAGAGACAATGCTCACAAGCATTAACACAAGGCACATGTGTAGCCAGAAGCAGGCTGATGCGTTCTTCAGTTTAGCTTGAAAAATCATCCCTGGCAGTCTGGCAAAGGCAGGTCCCAGAGCTACAGAAAGTGGCAGTAGGAGTAGAGGCCAAGCAGTCCCTGTTGCCTGAAGAGTGAGAATGTGAAGAATGAAGATGAGGACCAACTACACACAGAAAAAGAGGTGCGTGGTACTGTGGGATATTTTCCAAAGTATGACATGTAGCGATGACAAGCATCCTTTTTGCGTTCCAGCACTTGTTCCACTACTGCGCTTCTTGACCAGTGATGCATGAAAAGCACTCTCATGCCTGCCCTGCACTTGTATTGCACACAGGGAGAGCTGAAAGGTGGCAGCTCCTGATGGGGCAGCAAGCCTGGTGCCCTTCCAAGCACAGGCTGTTTTGCACAAGCAAGAACCCCTGGGGAAATGGAGCCAAGAGAAGAGCAGAGCTCGCTCCTGCTCCAAGCTCGCAATGGGCAAGAGAGCCCGAGAGCGCCAGGGCACGCGTGGCACCTTGGAGGTGCAAGAGCAGCAGGCCAGGATCTAGCCGAAAGGGCCCAGAGGAGCCCTGACAAGGGGCTGTACTCAGTGGTACAGAGGAAAAGAAGCAACCCGTAGTGGCCATCCTGGAGGCCCACTCTGGGACTCTAGAAAGCTATCTGCCCCGGGTTGCAGGGCACGAGGGCCACCTTCCTGGTGCATGAGCAGCAGGCAGTAACTTAGCCAAAATGCAGCAGAGGAGCCCTGATAGATGGTCATGCTCAGTGCTGCAGAGGAAAGCAAAAACACCCCCGGTACCAGTGCCAATCTGACCCGGGGGAAAATTCCTTCCTGACCACAGAGCTGGCACCGGCTATTCCCTGAGCAATTCAGCAATAGCTTGGGCACCTCCAGGGCTCGGTGGTTCCTCTGATCTCCTGAGGGGCTTGTGTCTGTTCCCTGAAGGCTGAAGCAGGATTTCCATCCATCAGATGGGCTTTGAACGTTGGCCCCGCCAGGAGCTGGCCTTGCAGTGGAAAACCTCCAGCAGCCTTGTCCAGCCTCCGCTCGTTCTCGCTCAGCCCCTGCCAATTCCACAGGCCTCTCAAGGACCTCCTCTGGGATGTCTTGGGGCTGCCCCGAGCCAGCTCTGGCAGTGGGACACAGGAGAACGCTCCCTTTTATCCTGCTGCATTGTGACTGCTGCTTTGCTGGTTGACGGCACTGTGACATGGTGGGGTGACAGGGCTCCCCCATGCACCACCCCGCCTGCCACAGCCCTGTCTGCTGCCCCTCCATCCAGCAACTTTCAGAGGAAGGTCTTTGGGGTGCTGGCCTCCAGGCAGTCCCTTGTGGCCCGTTACAAATTTAAAAAGACAAAGGCTGAGAGGAATGGCATCACTTTCAAGAAAGGCATCAAGGATAAAGGCCAGAGGAAAAGAGTTCCTGAAGTGCCAGGAGAAAGACAGTAAAAGAACACAAAATAATTCGGGGCGTCTTTCCAAGAAGAAGACCTCACCATAGAAAATGTCCCTTGATGCACTGGCAAGAAACGGTGAGGAAACCATGCATGCTCTCTATGTCTCTGCAGAGTTCATGCCAAGGGAATCAAACCCCTTTCTTTTATCTCTGGCATCACACAACCAAAGGAACATTTAGGGTATAAATACCCTTCTTCACACAGTCTGAAGGTACATACCAGTTTTGGCAAGTGACCTGGGAGCACCTCTCTGCTAAGTCCATACAGTATAGACTACCTTCATGGTGAAAGGCGGTGGCAGGAATTTTTAAGACACAACAAATTCGGTCATAAAGTAGATATTGCAAGAGGTCAGATTATTGTGCCTTTTAAATTACTGTTTCTTTTCTCTAAGTATAAAGGACAAGTATGGCAGATAAACTGTAAAAATCCAAATTGCAGAAGTCTGCATTTGGTCAACATGAATGTAAGTGTTCCATGAAACCCCTCTATTGCTGTTAGAAGCACATGTAACATACCTACGCTCCAGTCCATTTCTTCCACTGCATCCCCATACAAACCATGCTTGCTCTTTCCTCTGAATTTTTCTGAAGCATATAGAGCAGTATGGACATGAAGATAAGACAGGACAAGAAGAAATGGTGCATCAGTGTTCCTGGAAAACAAAACAAAACCAAACCAAACACCAAACTCAGTATATTTTATAATAAAATTTCTACAAAGAAATCTGTCAACAGTAAAGTTCAAAAACAAACAAACAAACAAAACCCCAAAACAACCCCCCCTCAAAAAAAAAAAAAAAAGAGGAGAAGAAATACTGTAACTGATTACAGGGTAATCCTGAACACACACAGACACACACAGAGTACAAATGCCATTCTTAACTGTATACTGAATTGAAAGTAAAAATAAACTACAAAATCTAAGTAATTACTGTTTGCTCTGTATAATGAAAAAAGACTTGTTTAAAGCCAGGAACCTAGCAGTTTCTGTCTACAAGCACCTCTCTTCATTTCACAAGTACATATGTAAAAGCCCAAATATAATTGCTGTTCAAAAACATACCTTCAGAATTACAGATATACATGAAACATAACTACCTTCCTCACAAGGTCATACGGAAGCTGTTCAACTAGACTATTATGAGGACCAGGGTCAAACACACCATAATATCATTAAGCATGTTAAATCAAATATACTTGTACTTTTCCTCCTTCTTTATCCTGGGCTAAGATACATGAGCATATCTCTTGTAATTTAATGCTTTAATGCTCTGTGTGTGTATGCATGTGATCAGTACATAACACTACAAGTACGCTGTACCAAAGAATAATGTTAAAGTATGTACTGATATAAAGATTTTTCCTCTCACAGTAATGAACAGTCTCCATTGTCTTCAGTCTATTTCCTGAACTGATACAAGAGTGCAATAAATACACTGTCTGTAAATTTTGCTGTTCATGTGATCTGTCAACACGATATTTATGATCAGTTCCAGCAGGCTGTGAAAGCACAGCTCAAGTAAGAACTTTTCCTTATGCATTATTTATAGAACTTTACTTAAAATTGTGCAGTACTAGCCAAATTTACCGCTATACGCTCTAACAGTGTTTGCAGTACATTATGCATATTGTAAATATCAGTTGAATCACAAAAGCACTACCCAGAAAACTTGTCTGGATCTCACCTTAGAGCACGCAGCTAATTACAGAGTAATTTTTTGTTTTATTTACTGTATTTTCCCTTGCCCATCTGTGATGGATAGTACCTATGATCCACACCAACACCAAAGGCAGTTGATTCATCCACCCTTTAAAGATGGGAGGAACAATACAGACATGCACGTACAAATTGTTTCTTTAAAATGAAAAAAAAAATTCTTTAGAACCTGAAAACAAAGTCTTTTACTAAAGGGGATTAATCTGATACCAATACTCTACTGTTAAGGAAAAATAACTAGGTTTAATCTAGTATATTTATAATCCATTTTTCCTCTCTCCTTGGTTGGTTCTGTTTTTACACAAGTTCCATGGTTAAAGCTTTCTTTTCTACTGGCATGTGCAGCAGTACATAAACACAAAATGATAAAATTTTATCCAGTTCACTCACTCAGTAAGTGTGTTTCTGACTGGGATCTTTTCTTCATAAAAAGTTTTTCCTTTTTTTAAAAAAAAATGACAAAAACATAGAACATTTTTCATGTGGAAAACGGGAACAAAATTATTTGAATTCCCTTCAAATATTTGTGCATTTATCCTGTATTATTTTAGTGTTACGAAGTGCAGATTCAAATAAATAAAGAAAAGACAGTATTTTTCATAAAAGATACACTTTCCATGAAGCTGTGTTTGTTGCTATTTGAGTGGCCATACACGTGAGAACCTTTCATTACTGTAGCAACAAATAACATGAGGGTTCTGAGTCAATTAAAAAGACTGAAAATATCAGCACTTCAAGTAAAAAAATATGTATACGTTTAATATTTAACATGAACATTAATGTAATACTGACCTTTCATTAAAGAACATTTCTGCAAGGCAGCTGATTTTTGTTTTACAACTTACATTTTTTACTGCACGGGATTATGTTTGACTTTTTCCTTAAACACAGTTCACTGAATTGAGAGTAATACACAAACTCTATGGTAAAACACTACAAAAATTTACTTCATATTTATAATGGCATAGGCACAATCTACTTTTCATGCAAACTGCCTTGTTCTAATGTCACAGAGATAGTGCGTACTTCTAAATGTATTCCTGTATTGCTAAAAGTGAGTATCAAAGCCTCCACTATAAATGTTATTTTCAAGAGATAACAACTCAGGTATGTTTTGTGTTTTGTTGCTTCTTTTTGAATGGAACTGACATGAAGATCTAACTTTCATGAAGAGTCATCGAATCAATGATTGATATGGAAGGGCACTACATCATTCTTTTCTTTGCAACTCAAATTGACAGGTTCTGATTGACAGCTTGCTGTCAGGCGGAGAAGTGTCTCACCTATTAATATCCTACAAAAGATCACAGGCAGCTATTTATCTCCTGCCAAAACTCTTTGAGGAGAATCATAACTGACTACCTTTACCATGACCTTGAAAATGGAATGACAGTATCAGCTAGTAGGCAGGAGAGAAATTTCACAATAACAACTTAACTCCTGAACCACTTCAGGAAACAGCTCCTTCAAAAAATGTATTGCCACTATGTTTTACACAGTTCAAAGACAGGGAACTTCAGTTTCAAAAGATCTGAAATTCACACACTCAAATATAGTAATTTTTTTATCCTAACATGAAGCACACAGCCTTTTCAATTCACTGAGTAGCCAGAGACATTACACACATCTGACATAAGACATACTTTAATGTGTAACTGTTCTTGAAACCATCTAAAAGCATCACATTGCTGGTGATACCTCTGCATTGAATAGTACTAGGTCTTCTTTTTTAGAGCGAGGAGTCTTTAATTAAGGATTCAGTTCGGGCTTGAGCTGTAAAACACAGCTTTAGAGTAGGTGAGAGAGCAAGTTACAACTAATCTGACTTTGTGCTTCACACATGGGTCTTTTAACTTTTTTCCTGCAATTTTGCTCTAAATGCTTGCCACATTGAAAACTTCTTGGGTAATTTTGTTTGCTTTTCTGTGCACTGATGTTAGTCTAAGACCACTACAACAGAGTAACAGGCAGGGCTCTGAATTTTTTGGCCTGCACTTGTCAAATCAAACTGAGATTTCAAGTATAATTCTGAAAACGAGACGGGAACACACCATGACAGGGATTCATTTTATTTTTTCACAATAAACTCTAAATTAGCCTTTAATATGATGTACAAGTGCAATCTTTCTGAACAACTTTTTTTTTTTTTTTTTAATGCTAGATGTGAAATTACCCTCACATTCTGTCATAAAGTACGTATTTTTAACCCTTAGACCATTACACCCCCTATAGCAGCGAAGGTACTACAATTCACAGCAGCTGACTACAAAACCAGATATATCTGGCTTTGCCTGAGCTGGGCAAATCCTGTGCTGTATTAAAATTGGGTTAACAGTTGTTTCTGAAATCACCAAAGTCTTAAAAATTCCAGCTAATTCACACCATAAAACCAAAATAGTCTGCAAAGAACTATTTGAAATAGATATAGGGGTAAAATATATTAATTCTAAGGATAAATATCTATGATTTAATAAGACTAATGAATACGTCATTTTCACATTGTCATTTTCACATAGTCACAGTACACCAGAGTCACAGTTAACACAAAAGAAAACAAAAATGCTGAAGTATATATAATATAATATATATACTATATGTAATATAGTATATATAATATAATAATCTGAAGATATATTTCCAGCACTAACACGTAACAGTTTGTTGTCACAGGCAGACACAAACCTAAATTTTCCTTTCCTGTAAATCTGCTTTTACTAAAAACATTCTTATTCAATATTCTCCCCAGTGGATAAATTCATTCAATATTTATTCCCCATAGCTCCCTCCTCTACTTCCAGATTAGATCACCATTTAGATAGTGCTCTTTGTGACATGACTGGCTGAATACACTTCATTAAGCCTTCTTTTCCTGTAGAAAGAAAAGGTAAACCTTGGCTTAGTGATATGAAAGCAGGACTTGGTCCTACAAGTAGGATTTTGCTTTGTTCTGACCGCTAACAGTGCAAAAATCCTTGTTAGCACGAATGAATCCATGAATGAATATTTCTATCTTATTCTTTTAAAAAATTCACTTAAAACATAGATCTCATATTTTCAACATTTTTCAAAATCAGAAAAAAGAACTCCAGACCACTTGGGAGTAACTTATCAAAATCAGAAAAGGTGTTGAAAATGGAACGAGAAAGGGAAACAATATAAAAATATCGAAAATCTGACTCTTCCTAGAAGATATTAAAAGTAGAATGTGTTGCTACTGTATCTGTGTTTGTGAAATGATTCTTCCATGCAAAGAGGCAAGATACTTTTAACGTCTCTCATGCCTATTTCTTCCTTTAAATGCTCATAGTACACAATTCATATATGTTTTTATTTCCTTTCTATATAACCTTTTTTCTTCCCTCCAACATGTACATTCTCACAAGCATGGGGAAAAAAAAAAAGAAATTTCTCATCTACTCCTAATTATAGTCATTACTAAATCCCTCTCCCCCACAAAACTTTGGAGCCCAGTATACAGATTTACTGCTTTTCAGAACTGTTCCATTTACGATGCAGTCTGTCACTCATCAGAGAACTATCTAGGTCCTTAATCATTCTTAAATGACTTAAACCTTCAGTTTTCAGATAGCCCTAAAATATATGAATTCACAACTTCATCCTGTTAGCTTTTTGTTCAAAAGAAACAAGCAGAGATCTGAGGAAAACGGATAAAGTGCCAGTAGAATTTTAAGTTACTACCCTTTTTCAATATATGTGCACATATACATCACGTGTATATAAAGATACACAAACTCTTCTCTAGAACTGGTATTTTGCTGTAAACTATAAGGAATATTCACGTAGGATTCACTAAAAAAACTCTCAACTCCAGTACAACATGCCAATGGCCTGATATTAAGATCTAGTGATGTATGGAAAAACTCTAAACCACAGTCTGCTAGAGTAGACGGAAAAAAAATCTGAAAGTGTTGTAACAGTGTTTCAAGGACTGAAATAGAATAGATAAAAGAAAATAAAAAAATTATTAACTGTCATCGCAATTTTTTAATATTATGGCTATGTGGTCTATGACCAAAAAAAATTTGCACAAGAACTGTTCAACTTCATCTTCACCGTAACTTTTGAATGTAAACACATTTGCATGCAAATACTGTTTTACAGAAGTTAGATTTCATTAGGATTTTTTAAAAATATATTATTATTAATTGTGATCACGTATATGAATTTGTCAGAGAGGTATTCTGTATCATAGAGTGATACTTTTGTGGTTTTAATTTCTGATACGTTAGAAACTGGTCTGTGGCATTTTCCAAATTTGGATTGTCTGTGCAGCTGGTCATTAAAGAACAGGCTGAAGATGTGTAAGTGACAACCACATTGAACTTAACATGAAATAATTAGTAACAATTTGACTTTCAAATATACTGTAATGTCTAGGGAGTGTTCTCATAGGTTTACAACATTTATACACACTTGCTCTTGCAAAAAAGTAATTAGAATTAACATACACTGAGCTGACCTGCCCACTTACAATTAGGGTGAGCAACTACATCAGTACTTGTTTTCACACACTGGACCTGACAGTTGTAATTTTATGTATTCTCCAGTGCCATTTCTGAGCACTGAATCTTGTATTTGCTCTCTTTCAATCTACGTAGGAAGAAAAGAAAAGAGTAATACACATACACTAAATTAAGGAAGAACAAATACAATACCACCTCTCCAAAAACCAGACCAAAGTAAGTGTAATAGCACATATATAAGAAATATATAAGAAATTATAAGATTTGAAAAATACAAAATTTAATTATAATATACACAATAAGAAACCGTAAAGCTGACAACATGACTGAGACACAGCTAGAAAAGAGTATAACATCAGAAAGTCCATTGGCTGAACTCTGCAGAACTTATAAAGGTAATATAGGTAATACGTATAATAAGTTTACATACGTAAAACATTTATGTTGTAATTTTTATATAACTGTATATATATTCAGACATATTATAAATAAATATAGCATAAAAGCGCTATATAGGAAGTACAAGTGCTGTTGAAAACTTCATATATTTATTGTAATGATAACTAACCAATTAAAACATGCACGATTTTTAGTTTGATGATAAAATGTATATTAAGAACCACTTAAGGTGAATGACTCTGAATTCTTTAAATTCAGGATTGTTTAAACTCTGGTATACTTGTGCGCAACGATTACTAGACTATAGGACTGAGCTTGCTACTTATGGTATTATCTAAACAAAAGAAGCCTGTATGACAAATCAAGGGTTGAGTCAAACCCATAGCAAAAGGAGGGCTGAAGGAGACTGCTCTCCCTCAAAAGTGGAATGACGAGAACGCTGTAGAGCAACCGTGGCTTCCAAAAACCTGGTGGCCCTTCACTTATGAGTGCTAGATGTCTGACTGCTGCTTCAACCTGGTTGCCTCTTGACAGCCATTTCCCTATAAATCGCTAAAGTCAGTAGAGAAGTCATAAAAGCAACAGTCTACTGGTGCACTGGAGTTGACAGATACGAACTACATAATGTCAGAACCAGTGTGTCAAAGCAAATATTGATTTTGTTGCTCACACTAATAGATGGGACAGATCAGCTCAGTGAATACTAATCTAATTACTCCTATCCCCAGGAGCAAGTTTTATGGTCATATACTTTGCATGTGAATTCACGACAGGGCACAGTTAAGATTGCTCGAATGCCCTAATTGCTTCTCAATACCTTATGTGCTTGGATATTCTGTAATTTAACATTGACTCTGAATTGTCTGGGTTATAATTCTCGCTATAATTGCAGCATTCCTGTAACAAAGTTTATTGCAAATTACGAATATGTGCTATTAACCTTGACTTCAATTTAACATCACTTTTGTCTGGAAACTACACTAAGAACCGGGGCCAAGTGCCTAGCTGATGTAAAGCCACTTACCTCCAGCTGAGTCAACAAAGCAATGCTGACCTAGATGATACATTTTTTGCCAGCTCTAAATACAGACTAAGCTATACAGTCACACTGTGCACATTATGAATATTAATACTGTTAAAAGAATTCCTGTTTTTCTGGTATTGATTTTCAGTCTTGAACTCACCTGTTTTGGGGTTATCATTTTATTGTCATTGCATTGAAATCGATGAAAAATTCAGAGATCTCCAAGACATTATGAATCACTACAGGCACATTACATGTAAATCCCGGAAGAATATGCCAACATATAGTTAATGTACTCATGAGTCTTTCAAAATCACGAAATGCTTGGTCACTAAGCAAACAACCTCTCAACAATTTTCAAAGGTGGATACGCATGTGTGTGTGTGTGTGTTAGTAGTAAACAAAGTAAGAAATCAGTAAGAATGTAGATGAGAAGGCATCTTTATATCTATCACCATTGCCAAGAGGAAATAAAGATGTTTTAGTTTATTTATAAATACTCATGAGAATGTTGATTGCTGGAAAGACTTACTCATTTAAAGAAATTTGATATAATAAACATTTTATTTTGGTATGACGAGTACAGACAGCCACATCAAATATTTGTAATGACAGAAATGATAGAAAAATTGCAGTATGAGATCAAGATTTTAGAAAAACATTTTTCCTTACTAACAGTGTTGATGACTACCGCATGCAGTCATTAAGCCTAGAAAATTTAGCCTCTGATTCTTTGGTGTAAGTTTTCATTCAGCAATGACACCATGTGAACGTATTCACAGTAACTACCTGGTACATACTTTTCAGAAGAGTAATTAAAGGACTTCTTATGTCTTAGAACATGTTTTTACTTTTGATTAACTGTTTTTAAAAAAGGTGCAACCTGTTTCAACAGTGACTGAGAAAACACATTGGCATATTTTTCAAGAAGTTAAACGGATTAAATATTTTTGCTCCAAATATATTGATTTATATTTCAGAATATATAAATGAATACTTTTATCATTTGATCCCATTAAAAGTCCTGTGGTGACAATTGCGTCAAAGTAGCTAACTTTGCAAAAATGAAGAATGAATTAGGATGAAGTTTTACATCCTACGTTTAGGTGACACAATGTGATGGCTATTAAAAAAATCATTGCTTTCACAAAAACATTTTTTCCTAACTTCTGTAAATCAAATATGCTCAAAATGAATCTGGCATAAAAGTGGAGGCATCTAAAATGACAGTGTCTTAAAAAGTTTCCCTTATGAATGCCATTTAATGGATGCATCAAATCAATGATGAAGAAGAGTTTCCCATTCCAGAAACGTCATGGATTATGACTCTGCATTGTGCTTTCACATAATTTAGTCACACCACAAACAATATTTTATATTTCAAGCTACATTAAATTCTCAAGAATTATATTCCTAAAAAAGTTAGATGTTTTTTGGATAAATTTTCTGAAGTATGTAAACATAAATAGTTTTTAATTTTTCTAGAGCAAATAATGACATACCTAATAGAAAAAGTCACTTTCACTAAAAAGATTAACTTCCATCATCTTTTAAACGAAAAAAATTATGATAATATACAATGACATATCCCTCATGCCCACCAGTTTGCATTTTTTTCCTACATTTTCAGAAGCATTGTCATTGTGAAATGCCAGCATTAACTTATAACACATTTAGAAACCTACCTTTCTATAAACTGCACAGCTTCCTTTGTTAGTCTCTGAGTAAGGTTCTCAAAGGATAGCGGTTGCTGGATAATCTGATGGTCCCTCATTAAGAAGCAGTTCAAGTGTCGAAAATGATAAAAGAAAAAAATCAAAACCGCAAGTGAAACAGCGGTTATTAACAAGCAGTAACCCAATGCTTGGAAAGGTACTTTGAGGAGGCCAATATACTGCACTATTGCCAAAGAGACCAGGGTGATTCCAGCAATTTGGATTGGGATGACAAGGGATTTCTGAATCCCTTTTAAAAATACGCTGCCTTGGCCAGGTTTGCAGTCTCTAAAGTTGGTCACGATAAGCCCATAAAAGTAATCAAATCCATGACTGAGAGGGTGGTGACAGAAGTCATTACTGCTTTCACAGTTCATCCCAAGATGCCACTTTCCTACAAAGAGAGAAGGACAGGGAGTACTTTTATAGTTAAAGCATCAAACTTACAATATGCACTATTCCAAATATGAAACTCTCACTATCTGACCGATATACCCCCGCCCCCAGCATTTATTGTGTGAATCCCTGTTTTCTATCTAACCTTTCTTTATGCCTTCATCAAAGACTTTGTTTCATGTCTGTCTCTTCACTTTAGTTAGAAATAGTTTGGCACAGCTCCTGATGGAGACCATTACATTCTGAGTGGGCTAGCCGGTCACTGAAGAGCAACAGAGCCCTAACAGTTAACTCTGAAAATGAAGCCTTTGTGCATGTGTAGTTAAGCAGTTATAAGAAAATACAATTTTGTAGCAGCTATCACTTTCTTAGGAAGAAACAATATGGAGTTATGAAATATCTTTTCTGAAATTTTTCTGGCAAATCATTCACATTTCACTGGTTTAAAAAAATGAAGTAAGAAAACAGTAGTAAACAGGAAATAAATAAAGAATAGTGAAATTACCAAGGCATTTATTATTTAAATGATTGCAAAATCTTTGAAATTGCCAAACTTCCTCACTATATACATATATATAGTGAAGACTATTTTTTGTTTATAGATTTTACAGATATATAAATAAAAAAAGTAACAACAGTATCAAGTAAATTACCACTAAATACTCTCTCTCACAGCATTTGTCTCACTAGGAAATCATCCCAATTCTCCAATAATGTTGGACACTGACTGACACAAGAAAACAGTGAGTCTGATTTGCATTATAGTAGCACAATCTATGTTCATGCTGATTACAATTAAGTGCCTAGATAATTTGTTCTATGACTCAGGTACAACCCCTTACCATATGCTTATGCATCGCTTAGTGCAACAGACCTAACAGTTTGGTAGCTGTTATTTAAATATAAATGCATAATTTAAAAGAAATTCAAATTTGGTTAAGCCTATTGACATAAATTATGCTAGAGCTATGCTCTTTGGTATCAGCAAGGAAATGTCTTGAATATTTGACAGAATGTGTCACCCTTGACAAAACAGATGACAATATATATTGCTGGGCCAAATTTTATTTATTTTTTTCTGAATCAAATACCTAAACAATGACCAGCATAATTCAGGGGTTGTGATCTTGAAAGAAACAAACAAAAAAATCTGAAAACCCAAAAAGTCCTCAACCCCATAACCTAGCCCAAGGAAATTTAAAATCTTTTGTTCTAGAGACTTCAGGATATATATGGTAGAAAGTACATGAAAGGAAAAAAGCACATATAGAATTTTCCCCTTTCCTGACCCATCCTAGCTTTTACACATCCGTAAGGAAGAGACATGATGCAGGCAGTCCTGAGCATCTCCTGGGTCTAGAAAGCAGGAGACTCATCCTGCACTTCTGCCTTTGGCAATGACAAATGCAAGTACTGCAGTCCCAAGGAAAGTGATGGAGGTCAGTTCTCATGTTTTGAAATAGTACATAGCAAACGGGTTCAATATCATTATTTCTCTTTCACAAACAACGGAACTGAGGTATGGGATGAGAATGCCATGTGCCTAAGTTCACCCATCAGCAAAGGTGGAGAAAAATACCACAGCAATCTTAAGCCGAACTGAATGCTTAGTTGAGTCCAGTTCTCCTTGTATATCTCTTGGTGGTCTTAGATTAGAAATACCTTCTGTATATTGTAGAAGCAGGTACAAAACCATTTTCAGGTCTGCTTAAGAGTCAGTGAAATGAGGGCTCTACAGCTTTCTCATCTCATCAGAAGTCTTCCCACTTACTGTCAGATGGCCCCTGACATGAGGTGGTGTTCTGCTTTCTGTGGGCAGAATGGCTCTTGTCACTACTTTTGACATGGTCCAGTGAACATTATTGTGGCCGATGACAAAAAACAGCAATGCAGACCATTGTACTGAGTTTTTAGATGTTATAATGGTGCCATGAAGGGCTGGCTAAGACTGCAACTCTGAAATTCATTCCCAGCAAGAAGAGACACAGAATTTGGAAAATAAATGCTTCAGTGTTTTCTCTTAGGTTTACATGACTGTCTTTATGGAATAATCATAAAGCCAGATGTGTAGGAAGGTGAGCATAAAACAGCTCTCATCAAGTTAGATAACAGAAATAAAGGTAGAGGCTTACAATCACGAATACAAATGATTTTAAAGCTTTAATTTTTAATTTTTTGCTGTTATTTGTCAATTTCAAAGCACCTATAATTCAGTAAAAACAACATGAAAAAGAAACCCAAACAAATTAAATATACTTTCAAGGTAATTTATCATGATATAAAGAAGTTTGTTTGAACAGGATCTCAATAAAACTAGACATTGCAAGCCAGGACAGAAGAATCTTGCAACAACAAACTAGGACAGGGGAAAATGTAGGACCTATTTTTATCAAAAGGGTTTTAGCGAGCACAACAAATTGTTCAATGTCAAGGTGAACTTAGGCCTCAAAAAAAGATTTGTTCAGAAGCAACTTAAGCCAAACAAAACAGACAGGAGGTTAGCTGGGAAAAACAACAGAAGCACTGGTTCAAATTACATCAGCAGCTATGATGGAAAGACACAATTGCCATTCTCAAATGGCTGACGGGGTAGAGGGTTTTGATAGATCCTGCGTCACTATAAAAAAGCAAGTAATGACTGGGTCTACAACACATGTTTTGTTTCATTCCTTGTGACAACAACCCCTGCCTTGAGCTTGTGTTTCAATAGATTATTGCAACGTGCTTTACGCTCTGGGGCCTTTCTGAATCTGAGAGTAGTGCAAAATGCTCTCACCTCTTTGCCAAGTGAAGCTTTGTAGTATGGACACTTCACACAAGCATCATACACATTTCAGCAGATTCTACCAAGTTTTTCAGTGAAATTTACACTGTTATTTGTAATGCATACCTTAATAATTTGACACTTAGGCTTTTTTCCCTCTCCTTCGGCCACAATTAAGATTTCTGCAGAGCAAAAGCAACGCAAGGAAAGGCAAGTGGAAATGAGAGGCAAGTCTTATTCAGCCAAGAAATTTCATTTGGCTGGAATGCTGGAAAGGCTGCAAAAATCCATGTTTCCCCTCTACTTTTCCCTCAGACAGTTGAAAAGGGAGAAATCTGAAGACTGAGTTGTATATAATGATATATTTCTTTTGGTATGATTTTGTGCTCTTCAGATAAATGGTAAGATGCAAGATGCAGAGCAAGATGCAAACATAAATATTTTATGTGCTCAAAGAAATATATTTATATGAAGTACATAGCAATAATAATATAAAGTATATATGCATATTTTATTAATATGGTCAGATTTTAAGCTGTTCTATTAATCCTACTCCACAGACTCACAGTCTCATATTGGACACCTCACTACTGTGATGTGTCCAAATATTACCACACCTCATTCTGGAGGAAAGATACAAGTCACAGTTCATCCATTAGTATTTTAAACTTTCAAGAAAACCTACATAGGTGGATTTTAAACTTCTCTGGATGCTAGACAACACATTGGATAACAGTAGTGAGGAAAAGTTGACTTTTACTCAACTGTAATTGAGTATAGCAACAGTTAAAATAATACCTACCTACTTTCAGTGGAATTTTTGCATTATGAATAGCTATTTCTTACAATACATTAACATTTCTTGCTACCGTCCAGGATCCTTAACTGGTGAAACATTACACATTCAATTTGTCTGCCTCTTTTGAGAAAACCTGGTTTTGTTGCAGATCTTCTGACTGTGTCTCTTCCTGCCAGATCTACTGGATGTCACCTTCTTTGTGTCACAGGGGAAGAACAATAAGCTAAAAAATGTATACATAAAGTAGATTTATAGCTGAAATATATTTAGGCATGTATCAAGCAAGAGGAAGCATATATTCAGAAAAGGGAAAAAAAAAGAAAGGAAAATGCATTTAGGAAAGAAAAAAAATGTCCTTATAGAGTAAAGGGGAGAGAAACTTGGCAAAAAAAAAAAAAAAGAAGTGACAGTACAGGCTTGAGGTACTGAAAGGCTTCAAATTACCCTTATGCCAATCCATCACTGGTGCAGGATTTGACAATTAATTGTTTGGGAACTGCTGAGTTAGATTGAACCAAGCAAAGACTCCCTGACCTAGACCAAAACGATGTGATAAGAATACCAGCAGAGGCAGAAAATGGGCTGGTTAGGAATCAGAATCTGCCTATCTAGTCTTCAAATCGACATAATTTTTCTTTTTGTTATTTACATACGCTTTATTCTTAATTTTAATGCACTTCTTGATTTTTGGAAGATTTCATTATGCTCTAAGGATATGGTAATTTATTATTATATTTTTAAATTTTATTAATTGCATCTTATGGTTTCATAGCTATCATTCAGGTCACTTGAAAGAATTGTTCATCAAGCATCATGGAGATAACTTCTGGAGATCTAAGTGGCAAGGTGTCATGTTGCAGTGAAAGTAGTAAACCAAGAACATTACCTAGGTCAGCCCCAGAAAATAGAGTTGTATTACACTGCTTGTTACAAAGGGAAAATTTTTTTTGGTAGCCTTTAACTGCAATAGGAATTAACTCCACGATGAACATGACAAATTATGAACGGCTTTTTTGCACTATGGTTCAAACACACTCAAACTAAACATCCTTCTGCTAAGATTTTCTGGTGTTCTGTTTTGAATCTGTCAGGACATCAAGGTATTTTGTACTTTCTAAGGCTGGGGTATAGCTAAGTAGGATTTTTAGTTAGGAACATTGACATTGGTTATCTACATAATATGAGTATTTTTTGAACAGTGGTGTGAATTGTTAGCCTTGCTAAATAGCCTGATTTTTTAAACAGAAATTTCTCACAAAATTGCAAGCTTTTGTTACATTTAAAAATCAAATTGGGTGCATCCATCAACTATAACATTCCAGTATGATGTTCTCTGAAGAACTACTTCCAAGCAATTCCAATAGAGAAATGCATCATGTAATACAAGTTTTATTTCACAAAAATCTTCTAAAATGTAAGCACAAATTAGGAAAAAAAAAAATGCATTATTTAAATGTTATACCCTTATGATACCCATTCCAATTCTGTTTAATATTCATCTAGTGGCATACCAATCACCTGATATTTATGCTGTATTTAGTTGTCTGAACTATCTTTATAATGAGAGAGAAACACATTTTTATATTACATTAAACATCTACCACAGGACGAGACAAATTTCCTAGAAATGCCCATTTCTGTCTGATGACTAACAAGAGAATCCAGATAGTTAGCCCCGGTACTACATTATCTACTTATGGATATTTGAAAACTGGTGAAATGAATCCCACCACTGTGCTGACTTGTATCCTATGATTGATCCCTCATCGTCTCTCTGCTGTAATCAAACTCCTATTTATACTGAAAACTTTTTCAAGAGCTTGACTAATTTTCAATTTGTTCATCATGTTTCTTCAGTACCTTGCGCAATGAGACCATAACTACACAAGTGAATTAGACATACTTACCCGATTAGTGTTTCACATGTGCATGGGAATGTGTTCAGCTTTGTGCCAGAAAAATAAACTCATTACACTGTGGAGGAAAAAAGCTTAATGCAGACCCTTAATAGCCTATATGGAAAGCTAATGTTCTTTTGATTGAAATGAATGAAAAATAATGCTGTCTATCTATGCAATTTTACCTATTAGGGCTGTTGCATAACCTCTTTGCTTCAGGAGTTTGGAGAAAGTTATTTCTTCAGAAGGAAGTCCCCCAGAAGAGGCAGAAAACAAGAAGACACCAACTCGTGAGAAGGCAGCCATTCCTAAACACAATGAAAATTAATGAGACTTGGATAATACAGCGAAGCAATTTCCATTCATTCTTTCTGCATGCACTATTTTGCTTCAGATGGTATCAATAAATGGCATATTACCATCAGGTAACATGTTGCAAGTGGCAGACACAATCATTCATTTAGCTGAGCAAGGTCTTTTCTGTATTGACACCAGAACACGAGAAGTGGAGAAAAATTTCTCTGCTTATAACCGTGGGGCCAGACATCACACAAACAGCTGCATCCCCTTCTATAGATGTTCTAAGGTATAACATATCTGAAAGAAGTTAAGCTTGAATAATTTATTTTTCTTGTAAGCAGGGAAGGAATGGAGCTGAGAACTAAGCCAGATCACTCCCAAGTTGTACTCTCAGAACTTCCACTTTCCTCATACGTGGTTTTCTACAGGCCTTTAAGGTTATTTGAGAGAAGCCAGTCGAAACAGGGCAGTCTTACAGCTGGGTATGTAAATGTCATGAGGTCAAAAAAATGCAAGAGAGAGTCTGATTCTGGAAACAAGGGTGGCTAGGGCTCTCAGATTTGATGGGAGAGGACCAGTGCTCCAATGGCATGAAGACACAACATTCAATGCACACAGAGTGCATTAAAGCAGTATCAGGTATCAGCTAACAACATAACATCTAAATAAGTCACAGTAATTTCAATATGCCGAGAATCTGAGGAACACAAACTTGAACTTATAAACTACTCTCAGTACGAGGAACTTGAGAGCTCAGGTTCATGAAAATTAGATTACTAGGATTCCAGATGAGAGCTGGCTCCAAGTATAGACAGACAGAACACAGAATATCTATGCAAATCTGTGCAGATGTATCTCCAGGAAGTCTGAATTATGCAACTGGATGATTGCAGTGCCAAAGTTACATGACTGATGTAGACAACCAGAATCTTCCCTCAGGTATCCCTTGTGGTTAGATGAGAAAAAGACTCGTTAGCTTGGTTTGTCAAAGAGAACTCAACCTACCCTTCAAATGTTGACTTCAGTTTTTCACCCCAGCTAGCTTTATTGATCAACAGTTTAGGTAGTTTTACTCATCTATAGATATTTATAATTTACTTATTACATATTTATTTATATTTCATGTACTTCCACCTCTTGTAACTGAAATCAGCGTAATTCCCTTAAGTTACCAGAATGAAAGCACAGAACCATGATTTATTTTATTTTTTTTCATCATTACCTTACTCTGAGTTTGTGTCTCATCAAATAGTGCATTTTGGAATATTTTTCTTCAGCTCTATTAGCAGGAGTTTTAAATTTCTAACAGTTTTTTCCACATCATGATTCTAGTATCTTCTACAATAATCCTTTACTGATGTTTGGAAGTAGTCCATATTTAGCAATTTTGTAATTTAATTAAGACAAAGTTCAATTTTTACACCAATATGGAAATGGTTAGGTGTGACTGAGAGCAGATCAGTTAAGAAAAATATCAGTTCAAATGCTAGTTTTTCAGAAATAAGAACAAGGATCGTAATAGAAAGTGACCTGTGGCTTTACCTACAGTAAATATTAATAGCAGTATATCTGTAACAGGTATATAAAATTTTCCTTTGCAGCTGAATGTAATGGAAAATTTAGCAAGTTATATTAACCGGCACTTTTGCAGAAGCTTGTTACTTGATTTGAATGAGCACGAACGTATCAAGTAGGCTCCAGAGTCTTGCTTTGCTTTCATTCCCAGAAGCAAGGACAGGATGTTTTATCACTAATGAACAAGTGATCTGATTAATGTATAATGATCCTTGCTAAAAATGATGTTAAGGGAATGTTAAAGTTGCATGGCTAAGCACTGAGGGGCTCAGTCCCAGCACACTAAAATAAACAGACTGGATCTTCACTGACTCAAATGGGCTTTGGATCAGGTACTTTAAAAGTAAGAGAAGCTATTAAATGCATGTATTCATAGGATACTTAACTATGTATAGGCAGATATGGAACAAAAATACTTAGAAGAGAGATTTTTTGCTTTCTTCTTCCCACTTCTAAGGGCTGCTGGAATACAGTCATGAACTGTCCTTCCCACCCCAACCCCCCACCTCCAAAAAAATAACAATTTGTCTAAACCAAAAGGTTTTGTAGAAACAGAAATGCCTGAGCAGAAGGATTTACACTGGGTTCTTCCATTGTGCCTTTCTAAGATGCATCTCTGTGATGTTCAACACTTAGGCTGCCCACCATCCTGGGAGCAGCCTGAATGCAACTGGGGAAGCAGGCAAAGAGCGGAGGAAGTAGACAGAATTTGTCTGCTTCTTACATTAAATAACCACAATAAGATTTTTTCCTCAGTATTTTAAAAAAATCTTTTTCTCATCAAAAAAAGCTTTATTTTTGTGTTAACTCTTCTGAAATGTGAAAATTATGACTATATATGGAAGATTTCAAATGTTGACCATCTCTGCTGAGCTTGATTAGTCACTGAAATGAGTACCCAACCTGGTAATGATAAAGACATCATGAAAGGCCAGAGAAAAAAATGCATACAGTTTACTGCAAATAAAATATGACATCTATATATACATAAAGAAATGGGATTTTACCTGATCTGATAGGATACCGCCCTGTCAGGAAAGCTGCCCTGCTTGGAGTACAAAGTGGGGATGCTGCTATATGCTGAGTAAGTGTCACTCCTTTCTCTGCTAGCCTGTCAATATTAGGGGTTCTAGAAAAACATAAGCAGGAAAAAAATAAAAGAATACACAAAGATGATTATTTGGAAATGGGCATGGTGAGATCAAGGCATCTGAGGCAAAAACTATCAGGAAAATCAAGCTGAGACTTACTGTACGCAAATTATCAAAACCATAGTGGTGCGCAATTCTAAACACTGTCGTGCCAAATACTTTTACATTAGGTGTCAACACCCAAGCCAGACACTGTGGCACTGTGTTAAAAATCTTTTTCCCCACTTTCATCCACTCTTCATGGCCAGCACTAAACTGTGACACCTGGACGTATTGTATTGCAACCCTTTTTAATGCATTCCTTGACCCAGAACTGTAACTTTGCTACTTACATGGCCTTTCCGCTATAGTAATGGGGAGAGGAGAGACTGCAGAAAGGTAGTGCCTCCTTACTCCCTACTTGGTGTCACTTCTGTCTTTCCCTAGCAAAATTCTTTTTCAGGTAGGGGTAATGTTACGTGGTGCCATCAGTTATTAGGGGAGATTCAAATGGTTATGACTGTGTTAGGCTCTTTATTAACAATGTTTACATCTGACATGACTATGTGTGCAATGTTACACCCAGGAACACATCCGTGTTTCCATATCTGCATGGGAAACTTGTCTGTGACCTGGCTCATCATGCAGATGAAAACTGGTTCCTGCAGGAAGAAATCCTGTGTCCATGGTTCTACAGAAAAAAACTAGGAATGCAGACTGGCCAGGAGATGCAGCATGCTCTAATAGGTCCCTGACCTTTGAGATTAATGACTATGACCTCAAGACACACTAGTGCTCCCCTCATCTAAGTCTGAATAGACAGAAACATTAACTTCCTAACAGACTTCTTTGCTATCCATGATGTCACTTACTGATAACAAGCAGTATGATGAAATTTCTTCATACTCCAAAGATCTAATTCTGGAATTCTCACATCAAAGAACATAGACCTTGGAGCAGTTCTGGTCCTTGTGAGGGGAGTGATCCAAGCATTGTTGTTGCATATACTTGTTTCCTGTTTAAAACTAGCTGTAACTTGAGGTTTTTTGGGTTTTGTTTTTTTGTTCTGGGTTTCCTGGACCACGATATGTGTGTATGTTTTATCTAGAGTATTTAACATCTGACAGGACAGTGCTTTTAGTCTGAATGTTTTATTTAACTTGATCAAATACTTTGCAGCGCTGAACACCAAGAAGAGGTACAACTTACGCTGTTTACACAACCATCATACCTAAGCTGGTAGTAAGGATCATACTGGGGAACACCACGGCATTACTCAGGTGTATTAACATTTGTTTTAATGAATTTATTGACTACAGAATGAAGATAAATGAAGGAAAAAAACTCAGCACTTTATTTCCAATTGGTTAGAGACAAGCTTGTCTCAAATCATGAGTGCTTCAGAATATGCTCAATTCATAGCATTTGCGTCATGTATATTTTAAATGAAAACTGTTGACTATACGTTGCTTCTCTAGACCTACCCTTATTTGGTTG